TTCCTTGAATCAGAATTCTCCCAAGTTGGCAAGGCGCTGTGACTCTTGCAAATCTTCTGACCGACTTGCGGGGAAGGGGATTATGTGCACAGGCTCTTACAAATAGAAGACTCTCCTGCTGTTTGAGACAGAGGACTTCCCAGCAAGCAGATCTGCAAGGGCTTTTAAGGGCAGCTGAAAGGCTGGAGTTCCCATAGGCAGCAGATCTGGGAGCTGCCTTGAACCAAGAGGAAAGGCATGGATAGAAGTGTTTCAATAAAATAAAAACTGAGTGTTTTTTTAAAAAGGACCGCACAGAGCAGTGGTTTTGTTTATTTGCTTTTGTTGTCATGAAGTCGGGAGCTGCCTTGAACCAAGAGGAAAGGCATGGATAGAAGAGTTAAAAGGCATGGATAGAAGTGTTAAACTGAGTTTTTAAAAAAAAGACCGCACAGAGGGGTGGTTTTGTTTATTTGTTTTTGTTGTCATGAAGTCACAGCTGACTAATGGCAACCTCATAGATTTTCAAGGCAAGAGATATTCAGGGGTGCTTTGCCACCACCTGCCTCTGCATAGGAATCCTGGGCTTCCTTGGTGGTGTCCCATCCAAGTGCTAACCAGGGCCGACCCTGCTTAGCTTCCGAGATCTGATGCAATCGGGCTAGCCTGGCCCATCCAGGACAGAACAGAGATCAGTTCACCTGGAGAAAATGGGTGCTTTGGAAGGTAGACTCTGTTGCCTTATACCCCCACTGAAGTCCCTCCCCTCCCCAAACCCCGCCCTCCTCAGGCTCCGCCCACAGAATCTCCAGGTTATTTCCCAACCCGGAGCTGTCAATCCTAGGTAGCTTGCCTTGAACAGTCTTGCTGTAAATTTTCATAGGTCGTGGTCACATGTGTGAAATAAAGCGGGGGTGGAAGTGAGGCTATTCCCTGTGGAGGAATTTGACCCGCAGTTGCGCGATCACACAGTCCTTGGAAGCTGTGGGTACAGCCCGTCCCTGCATGTTCAGAAAGAACCACGAGTGAGTTGGGGGGGGGTTGTGCTGTTTGTTTCCGATGCGCTTCATCGAGAGATCGATGAATCGCATCTCCGCACTGAGGGCTTCCCTATGGAGTTTGCGATGATGCGCATACTGAGAAGGGGGGGAAACAACAGCATGGAGCCGGGATGGCCTAATCAGACCATCCCAATGCCATGAGAGTGCGCCGGAGCGATCAGACAGGGGAAAGTCCGTCTGTGGCCCATCGCAACCCGTTTACTTCCCCCCCCCCCCCGGTGCGTTTTTATCCTGCGGCGGAGCAAAACGGGTTGCCAACGGGTATGGGGCGCTTCCCAGATGTTGGTATCTGATCGCGCCTTTTAAATCTGCCTAGCGTTCACACCTATGGCGGGTCTAATTGTGCGTGTGATCGCGACCATAGTCTTCCTTTGGTGCATCGGTGAGTCCAAAGTAACGAATCTTTTGCAGACTGGCTAACGCTGTCACCATTTTCACTTTAACTGTAGGCTCTTCTCAGTCCAAATGAGGCTGTTATGAGGAGCACGACCGCAGGATCTTAGTTAATTACTCTCAGCATCCCACAGTTAAGAACGATTCATCTGCCCATCAATCTCTGGTTTTGATATATTTATTGCCTTCACTGTGTTTCCCTCCAGAATTAAACCCAAACAAACGGTGACTATATAAACTAATCTTGTTGTTCCAGTTTGGTCCTTGCATCTGTTAAACACCTTTATTATGCTGTGTGCTAATTTGTTGCTCACCCTCTACTAGGGTTGCCAGGTCCGCTCACCGTCACGGCGGGGGGGATTTGGGAGGTGTTCTAGGGGTAGCTGGGATGTCATCAGGTGATGTACTGACGCAAGGATGTTAGCCAGAAGTAATGTTGTCATGTTGGCAACCTCATGCATGGCGCTCTGGTTTTGGGGCAAAAACTCTATGGCTTCTTTGCTTCAAAACCATAGAGTTTGCTCAAAAACCAGAGCATCGCATGTGACATTGCCAACACAATGATGTCACTTCCAGCTGACATCATCGCGTCGGAGACATCGCCCAATGACACCCCTATTTGGGGGTGGGGTTTCCCCTGCCAGCCAGCTGGCTAGCAGCGGGTTGTAGCCCCCAAAAGCAGGGGAACCCCCGCTGAGACCTGAGGGCTGGCGACCCTGTTGTTGTAAGCCATTCATTCATGTCCAACCCTCTACCTGTATGTATGGACTGTTAACTTCCATTTCAGTGTATCTGAAGAAGTGTGCATGCACACAAAAGCTTGATTAAAACTTGGTCTTAAAGGTGCCACTGGACTTGAACTTTGTTCTTCAATAAACCAGTTGATGCAGCTCTCTCGCTGAGAAGAGCCATAAAAAAAACTGTCAACACAAGATGGCACTAAACAAATGCAAAACCATGTATCCAAACACTGGGCAAGAAATCTCTTTCCAGGGCTGCGGGAAACAGCTATCAAGTCAATCTGTGCTTAACTGTGCGGTTAATTAACACTACCAGTTGTATGAAAGCTCAGCCCTGTTCGTCCTTAACCATTTAGTTGTAAAAACGGGTGCTTTGTCACAGAGACCGGCTAATTAGAATGTTTCAGCTCGGCTGCCTTTGCCAATTATGACTTCAGTACAAAATCTGCTGAGGAAGAAATCAGATATTCCTGGTATTTGTTTCTTGTCTTTCTTTCTTTTTAGTTTGCCAAGTTGACACACAGCTATGAAAAGCTACAACTGCACCAATTAAGACAAAATAAAGCTCACGGGAAGAGACAGGGTGCAGACAGCCAAGAAACACCATTTCAGCTGAGCAATCTAAACCAGAAATTGGAGGTAAGCATAAGGAAGCCATCTCCCTCCCTTGTGTTCCCTCTCGAATTTATGCCTTCTTCCATCTGACATGTGTCTGACCGTGAGGCTTGGGGCCTTTTCAGTTGTGGCACCCCACCCTATTGAACCCTGTGCCCAGAGAGGCCATTGCAAAAAGGTGAAGGTGGTGGGCACGGTTTAATGGGATATTCTGGTGAGCCCTGAAACAAGTTAATGGTTAATGGAGGTTAACCACCTCCAGGTTGGGAACTA